ATATATATATATATATATATATATATATATATATATATATATATATATATATATATATATATATATATATATATATATATATATATATTATAATATTATTATATATTATATATATTATTATTATATTATTATTATTATATATATCATATTATATATATATATATATATATATATATATATATATATATATATATATATATATATATATATATATATATATATATATATATATATATATAAGGCTAATTTATCTGATGAGTGCCACATCTTGTGGTACGAAACTAATAGTAATAAAGATGCCTAGTGGAATTTGTTGAGTCGTTGCACTTATTTAATTATGCTCTGGATATCCATTGAGCACTCTGCCAAATGTTTTTGTATCAAACAACGAAACGTAATTATATATATATATATATATATATATATATATATATATATATATATATATATATATATATATATATATATATATATATATATATACATATATATATACATGTACATCTAACTCTGTTATTTATCCTTGATAAAAGGGCATGCCCCGAAACGTAGGATAAGAATAGAAGTCTTAAAAAAGTTCGTTTTGTGATTTACTTGTGATTACACGGCCACGCCCAACCGAATTAAATATGCGACGTCTGAAACACGTCATTCTTTGCTCGCATCCTACGACCGCACAGGTCGAATTTAAAGTTACGGTCGAACATTTGCTTTTTTAAGTTCATATAGAGGTATTAATGCTTGTCCCTAGTTTTCCGAAGCGTCTGATATAACAAAAAATACATACCAGTTTCGGCAACAGGGCTTGTTCGTTGGTAGATTGCAGTATTTTGTCGCACTACAGTCGCTTGTTTGTGACGGACACGGATCGGAATGATAATAGCAAACACAATCAGGAAAATCACAGAATTCCCTGGCTGAAATTTAAATGCAATGAGAAGCTACGTTATTATGTTTAAGCCTATAGATCAAAAACGAGGATAAAAGTTTACTGAGATTTTGGCAACTTTCGCTTACATTTCACCGCAAGCTCTCATATGCTGTGCTCATGTAAACAACTTTGTTACAAGCAACGATAATCATTACTTTTTTAGGTAACCGAACAGTAATGCGTTTTGAAAAGGGATAACTGTGACTACAATCTGTGACAATATACTATGGGACAATGTAGTTTCAAAAACGTTATAACTTGTATAGACACAATAGACATTGCACAAATTTTCTACGTGTGAATATCCATTTTTTCAATGTTGCGTTGATGCCAGATGACGTGTCGTTTATGATGTATTCATTTTTTGTGACAACATTGAACGGGGGGATTCAGAGCCGGATTAACATTTCGCGGGGCCCGTGGCATATTAGCGAGCTTATAAAGGAAGCAACGTTTTTGACAACACGAATGTTGACCGGAAGCAAATTTGACGTTATCAACCAACCAACATTCTTGACCCAGTCTTTTAACGTTACTCATGCCGTTCGTGTTGTCAAAAACGCCGCGCATTATGTTTGATTGCCCCCCGCGCCGAAACAGGGAACAAAAAAATCGAAAAGAGCCGAGCGCGGGGCCCCTAAAAGCGCGGGGTACCGTGGCATATGACGCTTCTGCCATGGATGTACATGGTTAATCCGGCCCACTGGGAAAATGGACAGAAGAAGAAGTGATATGAACTTTCGCTATTTGTCTCATAGTTTTTGGCAAGGATTGTATAGTTTCATTTTGGCTTAAAATGGAACGAAAACGCGCGTGACTTCCCTCACCAGCGTTCAGGAATCATCCTAAGAAAAACTTAGAACTATAAGTGAACACCGGCTGATGGACGACTTGTACTTTAGACTAAATTTTAATCTAAGTAAGAACAACGAAATCTTTCACCACAGCTAGAAAGAGCGTCTTGGAATTAGTAATATTACAAAGTTTGGTTGCGAAATGTTGTAAAATACGGAAAATATAGCCCTTCAAAGTTGGCAAATTTTGTATACTTTTGTATTACGTGCGTGAATTGGTAACTAAAGCAAGTCGTCATCCATTGTGTGTGTGGCAGCAACGAGAGACGACAGAGCCGTAGCTAAGCATGCATAGTTAGGGGGGGGGGGGGGGGGGGGCAAATGTGACCTCCGAATGACGAAAAAAATTTTCGGATATTTCATGGCAAATATACGAAGCCACGAAGGTGTTTGCTATCCGGAAAATGAAAACGCAATTTACAAACAAAAATACTCATATTTTACGCACAGACATTCAGAAGCGTGCAGTTCCGTACAGAAGCATGCAGTTTCGTACAGAAGCATGCAGTTCCGTAGGAAATTCTTTTTGATAAGGGGTGGCGAGGACCGAAGGGCCGAGAAAATTTTTAAATTTAGAGTCTCTGAAATGCCATTTCGTGGACTTTGGGGGAAGTTTTGACAGAATTCTGATGGTCAGAAAACAGAGTTTTAGCACGTCGAAATTTACAATTAATTTGCTTACAATTTAGAAGAACTAAATTGGCGAAAGCGTATATGGGTAATACGATTCTTTGCGGTTTGTCATGGGTAATGTAGCCGCTTAAAATTAATCAATTGTCAGTATTTTAAAGATATATTGAGGACTGCCGCCTCCCCCCCCCCCCCCCCCCCCGGCCCTGGGAAGTAATAAACCGAAAAACATTTACCGATCTACGATTTGTTAAATGTTATCCATGTAAATGCCGTGATTTTGTAAATCAGTTTATGATGCTGACAATACAATTTTATAATATTTTCTCTGTTTAAACAACTAAAATTTTGTTATACTATTACTGCCGTAATTTTCCGAATGACCAACCTGATTTTCCGAATATGTTAATTCTAAAAAAGTTGGGGGGTTAACCACCGTCACCCCCCAATACCACCCTTCGCTACGGCCCTGAGAGACGAGGTCACCACGTATTGGATACTTGACTTTAAAGATAAGAGGGTCCTGGGGCATGCTCCCTCGAAAAGGTTTCGCGCGCTCAGGTGAATATTGTATCCTTGCACTATTCACCGACACTTCGGCGAATAATTATTATAGTTCTAAAAAATTAGCAATTTTCACAGGACCATTGCACATGACGTCACAGCGTCGTTTTTTAAATAGTACTTAAAACATTTTTATTGTTAATTAAAATTAAAACATTGACTTTACTGACTAGGAAAATCAATTATGCATAATCCAAGATTAGTGTTTTCAATTAAAAGAGCTGAAATGCACATATTATGCCTTTATTATATGCGTCATTATGAATACTTACGTTTGTTGTAGCAACAAGGCTTATTGGTGTCGAGGTTGCAATAATCTGTAGCACTGCAGTCGCTCAATCCACTTGGACAAGGATCACCCTTGTAATAGCAAATGCAGTTGGGATAGTCACACAATTTCTGCCCTGAAATAGAAATTAACATATATGATAAAACTGTAAAGTAATTATCGTCATTCGTCTGAACAGCTGGAACTCCTGTCACTTTGTTAATAAATACCCCGTCCAATAATAAGTCCGGCATGGGTTTAGGGGTTTAGCCCCGTTTTATACGTCGAATTTCGGTCGCGTCGAGTGCAATTCAAACAATAGATAATGAAGCTTAATGAGGTTTATCATCTCATTATCTATTGTCTTAATTGCATTCGACGCGACCAAAATTCGCCGTATAAAACATGTACAGGCCTTAACTTATACAGTCGGGAGAGCTTATATTCGGAATGGCCGGAGCGTTAGCGAATATGGTAGGCTTATATACAAGCCACGGTTTGTCGCTTTTAAAATACACTTGTCTTCGACATACTTTATCTGAGTCACTGTTTGTGGCTATAAAGTATGCCTTGGTAAACCTTATAGCCAAACCTTATAGACACGGTTGGCAAACCTAGCTTACAGCCACGGTTTCGCCGGTACGGCTCTCTTCGACATACCTTTAACTGTTTACAGCAAGCCTTATAGCCATGGTTTGTAGCCGCTACAAACCATGGCTATATGTAGAGTATATATGCCTAGGCCTATTTTCGACATACCTTATATAGGCCTATAGCCACGGTTCATGGCTATAAAGCACGCCTGTTTTGGCCTTTTTGGCATATCTTATTCTGATATTAGTAAACCGAAATTCACATACCATTGGCCCATGAAAAGGCGAAAATGACCAGCAGAAGTATGAAAAGTTTTGCCTCCATTTTCAATAGTGAACTGACCGACGTTCAGACAAGCAATACACTGTACACGTCTGAACTCGTCTGCTTGGGTACAATGTTTAACTTTGGAATTAAAATTCCTAGACACCTGTCTGATTTTGTGTATATACTAAATGTTTTCTTTAATTTTCGAGTTTGCATAAAATGATTTGCATAAACATTCGCTGCAAACATTCGAATTAACAACTATTGTTTAATGGGCAAAAATGGTTAACATTGTTGGCTGAAAGATAAAAGAATCTCTATGTTTTTGGCCTGTTTGACCATTCCCTGATAACGTTGTTAGGGAAATTAAAAAGGATTTTAATGTTGGTACCACAAAAGTTTGAATTCAGAAGCATTGTGTTTCACAATTGTTTACTTAATTTTTGACTGTCAAATTCAAACATGCATGTCTGGGCATGTCGGCACAACCAATATTTGTCCAGTATGGTGATTAACTTTTTAGTGTACCGGGCAATGAAACACTGACACTTGTGCTCTAAACTTTTCCAAAGGTCAGCGACGCCAAAGAGCCTCCCTCTTTCTACCCTTTTCTAACAGGAACAAGGGGAGTAGGGAGTGCTGCCCTTGCAATATAAATAAACCAAACATTTTCCTTAAAATGGTAACAATTTAATGCCGGAAATATGAAAGGCAAATGGTGTATTTATTATAATTCATGATGGAATTTTAAAATTTACTGATGATTGAAGGTAATTTTAGGCATTGAAGTTCAAATCCCCTGTAAAGTAAAATCTGGGCCCCTGCGTAAAAAATCCCAAAAAGTAAAATCCCCTGCGTACGTATGCAATCTTGGAAAAATATCCATGGACTAATTTGAAAAGTATATCCAAATTTGAAGACATGTATATTGAGAATATGAGTATTTTTTTTTACTAATCGAACCAGCTGTTTGCCCTGAACTGCCCCCTCGCCCCATACCCTCAGTCTAACTACCAACATTGTAGAGGGGAGGGGGGCGGAGTTTGAAAATTCCAAAAGTCTACGAATTTTTTTCCAGGATTGTAGACATGTCCGGTGCACCTAATACAATAAAATATAATAACAATATAACTCATTATCTATGTTAGTCAACGTTTATTCATAAATCTGGTCCTTTCACATTCACGTGTGTATTGTATTTTTACCAAATCCACCAATAGCAATTTGCAGTTTCCCTATTAATTGTTCGAGTCACGGATAGGTGACTTTCAGGCCTAAAACATTGCTATTGGTTAGTTGGGCAAAAATACAATACACACGTGACGGTGAAGGACCAGATTTATGAATAAACGTTGACCAACATAGATAATGACTAATTAGTTATATTGTTATTCTAATGAGTTTCACAGCCATCTTCCCTTCGATAAGCTATATAAACCCAGATACAGGTATTGGCTAAAAATGTACATGTATTGATCCAACTGTGCAAGATGAAGTAGGCAGTACAACCGGTTCTCTGACTAACGTATTGAAGGCTCATATTCCTGCTGTCTGCAATTTTATGGGCGGAGCAGATCACTGACACAGTCACTGAGCTATAGTGGAGCACATGAATCAGGATTTGGGAAATTGTAATCCGTCGTATATTTGAGCCATCTTTTGAGATTTCGTGCTTTTTTTAGCTGATCCTTACTGGAAATATACCATACAAGGTATTTTTATCCTTTTTTTTTTTATTTTGGATAAGAATCGTAAGATAAAAATATTAACAAAAGCTCGGGACCCGATGTGACATAATATTCCAGTTATAAAATTTTCATAGCCAGGCCAAAAGGATGTCTTTCTTGGGTAAGCTGTGTCCAATATACTGCTCGGTTACCAAGAGGAAGACGCCATATTGTTTCGCAGCAACAAGAAATCAAGAAAAAAAGCTTTATAAAAAGCGCACAAAATGGGTTGTTTGCAGTCTTCCGAGACGAATTCCGAGCCAGAAAATGACAATACTGAAGCCCAACCGAAAGTCTATAGCTGGTATGTATCATAAAAGCAATTGATAAGATTTTTATTGATGCTTTAATTTAACGATTTGGATGTATTTTTGCAGATGTCTTCATTGAAACTTATGACAAGATGACAGATATTTAATACTTCGTAGGCTTGTGGGTTTGCCTGGCAATTGAGTAATTGTTTTGATTATTTATTCAAAATTTTCAATAGAAGCCTGGATATTCGTTTATAGTGCAAAGCTGAATTGGCAAATTATGCATAATTTTTCAAAGCGAAACAATTTATGTGACAGATGTTTTGTATTTTCACAACGGAGTTTTAATAGCAATGTACCCTAGTCCAGGACTAGAGGCTCCTTGTATGTTAAATGGAGAATCAGAGTAATGTATAATTAAACGTGAACTGGTAATGTGTAATCAAATGCGGTGTTTTCACTTTGCGATTCGGAAACATAGCCCTGACTGGAAAGTTTGTAAAATATGCGCCGGAGATTTCAAAAATTTAATAGTAATTGTATAGAAAGTATCAAAATTGTGTGCCGGCACAGAATAGAGAATAGACCAGAAGCCTCACTTCTAAAGCCAAAATTATGTTAGAGATTTTTTATGCGCAGGCACGAGCCAGCAAGTGTAATCACAACGCCATCAAACACGAGCAACACCATCAGTACAAAAAAACAAAAGCGTAAAATATTTGCACAATGATTGAAGAATATGCAGCGTACACTTTGAGCATGTTTTGCGAATTTTAAGAAAAACCGTTGATTTGAGGAATAGACCTTTCCCCTTATAACCAAAATTTTGATCTAGGCAACTCTAGACAAATATTTCATCACAGCATGAAAGAGCATCACAAAATTAGTAATATTCCAAAGTTTCGTTGCGAAATGTTGTAAAATGAGGAAAATAGAGCCTTGTGAAGTTTGCTATTTTCAGTCATTTTGCATTACAAATGGGAAATTGCAGACCCAACACCCGAATCGTATGTCAATTTCCCGTTTGTAATACAAAATGACTGAAAAACGGCAAACTTTGCAAGGCTATATTATCCGCATTTTACAAGATTTTGCAACAAAACTTTGGAATATTACTAATTTTGTGATGCTCTTTCAAGCTGTGATGAAATTTTTGTCTAGATCGAAATTTTAGTTATAAGGGGAAAGGTCCATTGACGCTGACGAACGATGACGTGATGTTCGCAGCAATTAGTGTCACACATGTTATCTAGCATGCGGAATTCATGATCTGCAAGGCAATGTTAGGCAAAGCTGTTGACGTTTGGCAACAAGTTTAAAACAAGCTGTTGACAACTTGTAACAATCTTGTTGATACTATCAGACTTGTTGCAAGGTTGTTCCAACAAGTCCGATGCAGTCATGATATGACAATATCGTTACAACCTTGCGTCGTCAACCTTGTAACATTCTTGTTATATCATGACTGCATCAGACGTGTTAGAACGACCTTGAAACAAGTCTGATAATGTCATCATGCTAATGTTACAAGTTGTTAACAGCTTGTTCCAAACTTGTTGACAACTTGGGACAAGCAGACATGCGAACACAACTTGTTGATGGCTTGTTATCAGACTTGCTACACTTGAGGTATGAGATTTTTGTGCATACAACAATGTACAGGCAAGTTGTTTGCTTGATTTACACAGTCAGGGCTGCAAATAAATATTTGACTGACAGGACATTTGTCCGATCACTTTAAATTTTGGTCGGACATAACTCGAATTTGGTCGGACAAAAACCAACATCACTAAATTATTAAATTTGGTCAGACCATATATATATATATATATATATATATGTCAGGAGACAAGTATGCATAGCCATTCCGGCGCAACGTTAATTTTAAGTAAAATGCTAGAATGCCTCGTAAATTTTATTGCAAAATGCAAATTCAGTGAATTTGCAATCAGATTTCGTCACAGCAAAAAATGTATGTGACAATTTTTTTGTGATCTGACCAATGTCCGATCAACAATACTTTTGCTCGGACATTTGCCAAATTTAGTCGGACATTGTCCGATGTCCGACAGTAATTTGCAGCCCTGACAGTACAACTCAAATTGTAAGTAGGAAATCAGAAAAAAAAGTTTTGTCCATTAAATGTAAATTGGGAAAGTTTTTTTGACCGATCAAAGTCCTTGTTTAGGGATAAATAGTGTTTTTTCCAACATGTTTCTCCTTAGATACAAACAACGGTAGCTTGGTTTTGTACATTTCATTTCCGGTGAATGAACACTGAAAGATGCACCCGATGGTACTTTCAACTTTGTATATTTCATTTCCGGTGAATGAACACGGATGCACACCGATTACACTTTGTTTTCATTGTACATTTCATTTCAGTGAATACACACCCAATATGAGTGAAACGCAATACATTTTGAGAAAATAGTTAATGGGAAAAAGTAAACAAAACGTTCTTTGATATTAATAATTTAAAATCAAATGCAATGCACTCGAATAGCAGTATGCCATGATTATTCGGAAATTTTTTTCGTCATTCGGAAATTTTTGGCCTACACCCCCCAACTATACATGCTAGCTGCGGCCCTGGATACAGACTTGCTGACTGGAAGTTCTCCAGGTCCCCGCTAATTATGTCCTCTCCAGTTACACATCCTTAAAAAAGGCCCTGAACCAAATGTTATACCTCATAGCAATATGTATTATTAAGAGCAATGCATGAAGCGAGAAAACTCAACGTTAACTATAATTAAAGAATCTAAGTAGTATAAGCTATTGAAAAAAAATTCTGCGAAAGAAAGTGTGGAAAAAAAAATCGTACATGGTGATGGGATAAAAAAAATATCTTGCACATAACGATCCCAGAAAAAAAATTCCCTGCCAGCAGTAAATCACCCACCTCTCCCCTCAAAAGTTAACTGGTCGGCCCCTTAGCTACTTCAATTGGGAAGAGTCTGTCAAACGGACAGTATATGGGCTAGCTAACACCCTGGAATTGCATACAACAGTTTTAGGCAAAGTTGTATACGTTTTATTAAATCGGCCTTAAGTGACAGATGAATTTAGGATGTATAACAATGTTATAGGGAGAAACGTGCCAACCTTGATCCGAATGATTACATCACAAAAAAACTGAAGGACATAACGGTTGGAAAACTACCTGGAAAAATTAATGGACAGCAGTATGTCATCGAAAATTGTGAAGTTAGTAAATTTAAATTTGTTTTTAAAATAATAGAAATTATTAGCCAATGTCCGACCAACTGACGCTTTCAGAGCGGACATTTGTCAGATCCAAGTGAAATTATTATAATCCACACTTGTGTCAGCACTTTCCCCTTGACAAATAAAATCATCTGGCATATGTTAGCCTGTATAAAAAATAGTACAGTATGTTGTAGGGCATATACCTGGGCACTATGCCACTTGTAGGGTTAACCAAACAAACTGCCCATGTACAGTATCCTTTTAATAACCTTTTAAGTGGCAATGCACCCAGATGCACCCTACGTTAGTACTGTAATTTACTCTGTCTAATGCCAGATGATTTTACTACTCAAGTAGAAAGTGCTGCCACTCAGTGGGTTAACAAACATTCTGCACATCAAGCTTTTAGCCAGAAGGGCATCCTGGGATGCCCCTAAAATGAAAAATGGACGCCTTTGGATGCCCAAATTCTGGGGAAAGGGGAAATTATTTTCAATTATTTCCCCAGGTATATTAATATATCTGAAATGAAATAGTTATGGTGTACCTGGCTGAATGAAAATGTCACAGTTAAATAAAGTAAAGAAGCATAGCGGCACAAACTCACAAAGCCAAGCGTGTTTGAAAAATTTCGAACGAGCTTGGAACAGATACTGACATGACGTAACGTAAACTTCAAAGGTTTTCCAGAGGAACGTTTTCTCGAACGCCCCCCCCCCTGTAGATGTATCGTTATACCAAAATTGGATGCCTTATTTCAGGACCCTGGCTAAAAGCCTGATGCCCATCCGAATGTTGTCATTGAAAATAAACAAATTAAACAAGTTTATGAATGCAAAACCTTTGGAGTAACAGTTGACCAGCATTTATCTTGGAAAAGTAATACAGAAAATGTTTGCAAAAAAATAACAGCAGGAATCTCTGCTATTCGTCGAGTCAAACCTTTTGTTGACAAAGAAACACTTATTTCCATATATAACGCTATTGTTCGCCCATACTTCGATTACTGCTGTGAAGTATGGGATGTGTTTGGCGAAACACAATCAAAAATTCAAAACGACTTCAAAATAGAGCAGCAAGAGTTATCTTGAATATGAGTAATGACGTAAATCATTCTATTGCTTTGTGTGAATTGGGTTGGGAACCACTCAAAACATTAAGGAAGAAAGCTAAAGCAAAAATGATGTACAAAGTATTAAATAAAATGGGTCCCAAATCACTCGCAAATCTATTTTCTTATAAATGTGAGAAAACAAACTATCACCTTCGGGACATTTCAACTGGTCTTTGT